AAGATCATAAGTTTGTTCTCAAGTTGGCAGGTTCACACAGAACTGGAAGCCAATCAGTCATTGCCTTTTCTGACCAATAACTAAGAAAGGGAACCTGCCAGTTAGTGCTTGCTTGCTGCTATCTGCTTGGATCTTTCTTTAATAGACATTGTTTCTCGCCTTTAAAAATAAACTAAAATTGTACCATTCCCACTAGTTTTGGTGTTTGGTCCCATGTCCAATGATGCCATCCTGCAGTTACTGTGACCTGGGAGACAAGGTGAGCCAATCCTCTGCAATGGGAGTCGCAATGTTGTTTGCTAGTAAATTATACCTGAAATGATAGCTAAACACTCTTTGAAAATGGATGTTTTGTTGGAAGGTGTGCATTTAGTCCTTTCTTCCTCTTCTATTGCATACATGCCCACATATGTGCTTCAGATGGTTAAGAGCCCCCCCCCCCAGTAGAAAATAAAAAAGCATAAAAAGCTATGGGAGGGGAAATTGAGCCCAGCTTCATTCTGCTAGAGGAAACAATATCTTCTCACACAGATGAAGAACTGAATTTTACCTCAGAACTTTTCCCCCCACAGATTAATTCCACAAATGATAAAACAACAATAGTCACCTAGAATCACTTTCTATGAGATGGCCACCAGATACAAATTTAATTATTAAATAATACATTTATTCATTGAAACTATGTGAACCATGCAAAGCAACATCCTTTAAAATATATGTGTATAGTGTTACTATGTAAAGATTAAGGCACCAGGCTAGAAACCTGGAAATGGTAAGTTTTATTCCTAAACACAAAGCTAGCTAGGTGAGATTCAGCCAGTCATTTTCTCAAGTTTACGGCCATCTAAATCTAAAACCTGAATTACAAATATTTCCTATTATTTCAAAGTTATATAGGGGTAAACTTATTGAGACCTGGTATTCCACCAAAGGAGCAATTAACAAACGTATTGATTTAGATCCAACATATCAAAATGTAAGAAACCAGACCATTCAAAGTGCCAGTCAACAAGGGAACCAATCAGCTGCTCGGAATTCAAATATAGCTCCAAACAACTGACCACACTGGCACACAAGATACTTATGAGCTAAGGAGAATAGGACAAGGAAATCCTGCTGATGATGTTACCTAGTTTGGTAATGAAACGTTCGGAAACTATATTAAAACAAGCTTGGAGAATAAATCACAGCCAAAATCTAAAACCTGAGCTACAAATATTTCCTATTATTTCAAAGATATACCTGCTTATTACCTGCTTGCAGGTAATAAATATCTGGTGAATGCTAAAAACAACCACAGTTTTGCGGAAGGAATTAGAAGGTCAGTGAATTATCATGGCTCACAAGGATTCGGGATTTTTCTGCTTAAACAATAGTTTTCTATACAAAGAGAAGAAAAACAGATCAGATCAAATACACATTGATGATGAAAGGATAACACTGTCATCTGGATACTCCATGAAGTTCTCCTGCCATAACAACAAACATTGTGGGAACAGCTCTAGCAGATGCACATCCCCCACCACCCAAAATAACCGAGAGCAGTCATGCTGCATCAACCCTCAGCCAGATACTTTGCTACAGTGATTAAGGGCATGCTTTTAATATATTCTTTTTTCTCAGGATTAATCCTTGGCATTAGAAATAATACAGAGGCTGAACTTTGCCAGGTTTAAGCTTCAAGGAAGGGGCATATTCCTGTATGTGATATAAGGATTTCAAGATTTTTCTATACTATGGAGTCCTTAGGAAAGGGAAAAGAAATCTAATCCAAGTTCTGATATATCCTTTTTCACTAAGGGCAATCCCATATTTGAAGATCCATCCAGTCCAAGTTTGATTGCAAAATAGCCATGAGGAGAGAGAGTGGAGACCTTGACACCACCCCTTTCTTTTCACAGTTTCTCTGCTCTCATTGTGACGAAACATTTACCCCCAAACCTACAATTATTTTATGCAAATGTAAGACTTTCCAGATGAATGCTTTAAAAATAGATGACATCTGAGTTGTGCTGTCATTATTTTATTTCTATGACACATGTTGGTCATTTAGTTGAATAAAAATGCAGGGTATAAATTAAACCTCCACAAAGAGCTTTTTTACCCCTTCCACTGCGTTGCACCCTTTCATTCCTGCAGTAGTGTTGCCTTGATGGTAGCCTTTGGCTACCCAAAATTTCAAATTTCCAATCTTCCATTTTCCAATTTGGGATGCCCAAACTCTACAAAAGTTATGGCCTTGCAACCTCCATCCTGGCAGGACCTCCTGGTTTCAAGCCCCATGGTTCTCTGAAGCTAGACTGATGTTTTTTGCTCAGATGAGGAGACATGAAACTAGTGCTGTGAAGAGAAGCATGTGACGCATGAGAGAAATTGGAGGAGCTAATTTTTTTTATTCCTTTAATGGTCATTTGGAAAGAACCTAGGTCAGTTACACCACCCATGACAAGAATGGTTGCGAAGCTTTGGGAAATATTTGGAATGTGCAACTTGGATCT